CATGGAATCAATGGAACTTAAGCATTGACTTACAAAATTTAATTGATTCAATAAACTTACTCTCATTGGGACTAACTACTGTATTGTTGTTATTGTTGTTGTGTGTTTTTGAGTCATTTCTGACTTATGGTGAGCCTAAAGCAAAACTGTCACATGGATTTCTTGGATTTCTTAATCTATTTGCCTATAGAATAAAAAATGGCATCTATTCATTTAAAAGGAGACTAGAACATCCAGGTCAGGGACACACCCACATGCCCCATGGTGGAACAAAGATGGAGCAACCAGAATTTGGTTATCTTTTTTTGGTAGTGAAAACATTTTTTAAACTGTGCCTTCAGCAGTTAGATGAAACGAAAATTTTATTGCTGTTTTCCTTATTCTAGTAGTGCATACTAATTGCTCTGCTATTGAGCTCACTTTTGACTTTTGGTTCCTAGACTTATTTTTAGACTGTGGGTTGTTATGATTTGTTTTTAGTGTAAATGGCATTGGCAGCCATTTAACACATAAATATGGCAAATAAATAAATAAATCTGCAGTATTATGCTCCATTTTTCTCACTAGAAATAATAGCAGAGATAAGTGCACTCAAAGAAAGGAAAGTGGGTACAAAATCAAAAGAATGGGAAGTTGTAGCAGTAGTCATGGCAACTGACTGTAGTAGTAGTAGTAGTATTAACAGTAGTAGTAATACTTGTAACTGTAACAACAGTAATAATGGGAAAGACAGGGATGAGACTAAAGGACTGAGGGTGCTGTCCTGGAGGTGTTTTGACTCACATCACACAAATATTCATAGGAAATAATCAGAGATGCAAAAAGAGTTATCTCAGAAATGATCGATTTAAAGCTGACACCAGCAGGAAAGATTCCTCTCACCCTTTTTGTCTATATCGCCTTATTCACAATTAAGGTCATTCATAGTTCACTGTGTGCATGCTAAAAAATAAGCTGCATCATTACATTGACATGATAATAAGTACATTATTAGCTGATAAGGCAAGGTACTCCAAGATGAACCAAGAACAAGACATGAGCTCTTAATAATCCACTGGACTTAAAATAAATCAGAGATGGCTGGGTCTGCTTCACAGTTGTTAAGTAATTGTGAGGCCTAAAAAAAGAGTCTAAACTGTTGTTTGAACCTGGGGGGAGTCCAGCAGTACACTGCAGTGTAGAAAAATTCTAGGGAAAAAAATCAATCACATCCTATAGCAAAAATGTATTTGCATTTCCTTACTGCCAGCTGAAGAATTCATCCCAATACAACAACACCCATTGTATTCCATCACGGTGAAACAGAGACCTCATGTCTAGGTTTGTTCACTTTCTGATTGGAGTAGATTCCATTAGTTCAATAAGATATTTTTTTAAAATAATTAAATAAATCTCCAACATTTGTCAGAAAGGCAAAAAGAGGCTAAATGCAGTCATTCCAAAGAACGATGGAATTGTTTCAATGAAGTCTGTATATACTATCACATTACTAATTCTTTTATGTACTTCCATTAATTAATTTGTACTAATAGGTCAGTACAGAAATTCCAACATCAGGATACTGCAATAAAGTTGTGAGTTCTGATACTGAAATCTCTTGTTCCTTGCTGAAGGCCACGTTTAAACAATTTCAAATTCACTATAAAGTGTACAAATGCTCTATGTAATCTTATTTTCTACTCTGCTTCCTTAATATGAGTCTTAACAACTCCACTTGCCTGGACCAATCTGTCTCTAAACCACAAATGGTCTATGATGTCACTACTGTCGATCTACTTTAGACCTAAGTATCCCTGCACTAATAGTATCAACAGTGGCTTCCAGGAGGCTTGAGTGAATCATGTGAAAGAGGATCACAGAGGAATGTTCTGTTCCCACTGAGAACAAGACAGAATTAACTCTGAGAGATGCTTCCTTCTGTTGCTCTGTTTGTCAGAAAGGTCAAGATGATTAGCTCTTGTATACTCAGTGCCAGACATCAAAACAAAATATATGTAAAACCCTAATCTATTTTAAACAGACCAAGGATACACACTGGGAAAGTAATCTGCATTATATGTATAGAGGGATAACTTAAAGTCAAATAACTCTATTTGGTCGGTGTTCAAGATGAAAAAGACATTCAACTCTCACAACACCAGAATGAAAAGGAAAATATTTCCTTGAGCAGATTATTTATTAAACAAATTATGTACCTCACCTCATAAGTCATAGCTCTTTCTAATAAAAGTAAAATCTGTGTCCTATTCTTTAGCAGCAATCCTAAGCAGTGCAATCCTAAGCAAAAGTATTTAGAAGTAATAGGTTGAAGCCCTATTGCATGTCCCAACACTGTTTGAGGCTAGTTTGTTGTGTTCATGTCACAGGGCTTTCACAGTGGCAGCACCCAGGCTATGCTGCCCAAGGGAGGTTAGGCTAGTTCCATCTGTTCTGTGCTTCCAGCAGGTGGTTAACATGGTTGTTCCACATGGCCTTTGGTGTTTGAAATGGTTCTATTTAATCATTCTTTAAAATCATTTTAAGAATTATTTCAAATTGCTTTTTAAAGTTCTTAAATACTACTTTAACTTGATTTTAAAGTTTTTATTTCTGTATTTATTTATTTTTTTAAAAAAGAATACCTTTTGCTCATTGCCTCAGGAGCTCTAGTAGGCTGGAGGCAACATAAAACTACATTTTAAAAATTAACCCTATTACATTCCAAATGAGCTAAACAGCATATTTAAAATTACATCTTTAAAGTTACAGATTTTGCTCAAGGAATAAATAGAGAGTTTACATCCATACTAAAAGAAATAATCAAAACATTACAAAGAAGTCATCTATTAAAGACCAGTAAAGTGGCTCACACATCTAAATTGGGAGAGGGGAAAAACATTTAAAACGTTTAAGTGCCAGCCTCAGATGCCCTAGGTTCCAAAGCATGTATAAAATATATTTAAAAAATAAAGTTTTTCAGCAATCTTAGGCCTGCAGAACTGAAGGAAGCAAGCTCTGGTTACAACAGTGTTCATCCTGTAGACTAAACACCATTGTGGTGTCATATCCCTTGCTTTCCATAAAGACTATCAAAGCAAGGAGAAGAAGAGCCTGGCCTCAAAGTAGGTTATGAACTTGCTTTCCCTTTTCTTATTAGAAAGAATACTCTGGTCCAATTGTTAGTGCTGTGCAATAGCAGTTCTGTGCAGGAGGCACTCTGTGGTTCTATTCATCAGCAAAAGAGCTAAGAGACAATGACTTGTTTTTTCTTTGTTCATTTATATCAGATTGTGGTGGATTTTTGTATTATTTCAAATTGTTTTATGCCACTTTGAGGTTCATCTAATGAAATACTTAAATAAAGTGTGAATCTGTATATGAATAAGCAAAAAGTTGGAGAACTTCTCAGCAGCAATACTTTGTGGATTGAACCCAACCAGCCCATCTATCCAAACTCTGGGATGTTTCACTGTACAGCGGGCACTCAGTATCCACTAGGGTTTTGTTCTAGGAGCTCCTATGGACACAAAAATTCATGGGTGCTCAAGTCTCATTATATCCACTGGTGTGGTAAAATAGTGTCCATTATATAAAATGACAAACAACAAGGTTTGATTTTTGGGTGTGTGTGTGTAATATTTTCAAGCCATGGTTGGATGAATCATTGGATAAAAACCCCAATGATACAGTGGGCTAACTTTACAAGCAGTGTTCCTCAATTGCAAGGACTTCCCTATTCACTGCTATATTAGGTACCACATGGTGCAAAAAGATCATACACTCAAAAGGTATTAATGAGCTGCATGGAAAACCATTCACATGTGCAGCTATTCCTGAACCCACATGAATTACATGGATTTGAGCTTTCATATTTTGTTAATTACTGAGTCTGCATAAAGACCAAATGGGTATGAAATGCTATACTCCATAAAATCCTACAACATGTGCATCTACAGGGTACTTGGAAATGTTCAAATAATAATCAAATAAAACTAACAGCATCAATATTCCATCCAATTGTGTTTTTCTTCATTGTACAATAGTGTAAATATAGACCAAAGTAATCAAAATGCCAGAAATATAAATATTCTCTTTAATGCCACTGAATCCATCATTTTACTAGGAAAAGGCTTAACTATGTTATTTGCAATTCCCTCACTGCACAACAATGTACATTACTGTCTGTAAGCTCTAATTTGGCATAGCGCATCATTAATGACCTGAATGGTAGCTGTTTCACACATACATATTTAATTACAACAGCTGAACAAATTACATATTTATGCTTTATAAAGGGGATTGCCAGTCTAATTCATTTGCTATGCATGCAGGTACAGGGCTCCATCTGCAACAGCATCTGCACAACAAGAGCTAACAATTATCCATTGTACAGTGAGTGTATCTGGTGAAACCTGTAAGAGATGCAATCGCATTAACCACTTCACTACATTCATGCCATTATTTTTCTCAATGGCCTCAAATAGTTTAAATAATGGATTCTTAACCATAACGATGCCTTGCATGTCTCTCATCACATTCCCCAAAGCATTTTATGAACAACAGTGAACAAAACCTTGGGAAATACCCTTTGGAAATACAAACTCAATAGTGCTCGTCCTTATGGGCAAAGGAACAGCACACAGAATAAGTAATACCAAGGTAGAATCATGATAAAAAGGGCAATGAAACAAAGCTGCACCTTCCAAATTGTTCTGTTTCATTCTGTTTGCATGTTCATTCATTGAAGTAAAAAAGAATAGTACATCATGGCACCCTAAATGCTAACAGATGTATTTAGACTAAGTTATTGGGGGCTGAAGTCCACCTTAGTTATGTCCAGAATGGTGGAAGCAGAACTTTTTGTTGTTGTGTACCTTCAAGTCCTTTTTGACTTATGGTGACCCTCTGGCATTTTGAGCCTATCACAGGGATTTCTTGTCAGAATTTGTTCCGAGGCACTTTGCCTGTGCCTGCTTCTGAGGACGATTGTGATTTGACTAAAGCCACCCAGTTGGTTTTTATGGTTGAATGGGGGTTCAAACCCTGGCCTCTGGAGTCACAGTCCAATGTTCAAACCATTACACCACACTGGCTCTTGAAGTGTTACTAAGGAAAGTAAAGAGCTGTGCTACTCATTACTGCCAGTTATCCAAGTTATTGTCGACAGGATCCATGTAACACATTATTAACATGTTATTTTTGTCTTATTTTATTAGTACTTTGGGAGCAGTTTTCTCTCTCTTTTTAAAAGAAATAATGTACATGCTCAAAAGGGTCCCACTCATTCTGCTGCCAAATCTGCCACCGTCCGCCAAAGCCTAGAATTTCTCAGTACCCTTTCTTAAACCATGCAAGCAGTGAACCACCCAGAAACAAGATGGAAGCAATTATAAGGCACATGAATCCCTTGTTTACACTTATATTAATGTTTCCGGTTCCAATGGCTTCCTAAAGTGCTAATACAAGCCCCCAAGTGACTGGTGTGGTTTTTTAAGAAAAGAAAAATGAAATACAGAAAAATGAAAAATAGAAAAAATAGGTGGCAGATTTGGCAGCAGAGGCAAAGGGAACTTTGGGCATGTAAACATTTTTAAAAACAAATAACAAAAGACAAATATACATCTAACTAGCAAAAAATCCTCCCAATAGGATTTGTTTTTGGTAACAAATAAATCTGTCTGGTACTGTTTATAGGTCCTCCTTGGGGTCAATGTCTGAAAACCATTCAGACGGTGACTTCCTACAGTAATAGCTGCTGAAACGGTGGCCAACACGTGTACCTCTAGACTCTATGCTTCCACCTTACCCCAATGTTTGGCATACATATGCAGTAGCATTCCTCCCATCCTTACCAGTGGGAGTCTCACACTAAGTCCAAACGACTGAAAGGGGGACTCACTGGGGATGTCTTTGGGGCTTCAGGCCTTCCCTCCATGTAGGCCAGGGGGTCCCCCATACCACAATAGCATCTTATCAATAACCATCCCTACAGAGGGATCTCCCCTCAACCAATTTCTGATGCTATATTTTATGTGGAAAATATTCCACACTTTACACATATCTATTAATGTTTATGCTACAACTTTTTCTGCACCATCTCAAAAGTGCACAAGATCCCTTTTCATACTGACATTCCAGATTAACATGTTTATGTCTCTAATTCTGCATACATGCATTTAACCACAGTCATCTGGACTGTCATCTAGACTCAATCCTGATGGGTGGACTAAATATAGAATATTAAGTTATTGTTATGCTTCTGAAGAGACAAACATTGATAAACCCTAGTGTTCAGAGGAATAGATTAAAAAAGAAAATGCATGCATTGCTAAACTTATTTCTATTTCACAAAACCTTTTGCTTCACAACCACAAATTGCAAACACAAATAGTAATGACAAAGCATAATACGTTATAGGCCTACAGACTTATATCACTCCTTTAATGAAACAGAATGTTCAGTTAGTTGTAACGATTCAGATTTTTCTCAATTTGATAAATAGTGTATAGAGTGAATGATTGGAGCTGAAGATACTACAGTTCTACCTCAACAAAAGAAAAGTTAAACTGTTAATATAAGATATCAGTTAGAGCTCTCTTCAGGAATATGTCTTAAAACACTATTCTTGCAGGTATAGTTATTTTTCATAAAGTTTGAGGGATGTATATGCCATCCTCTTTACCTTATTACAATTATTCCAACAAAGTAATTTTCACATAAAGGTTTGGATATGTCTAAATACAATATTTAAGCCAAATTATGGTAAATTAGGTCACATTAATCAGGGCATGCAAAATTTTCTGGTCACTTTTTCAGTTTTACATTTTTCCATAAAATCCACATCACTGTTAGTTTATAAGAATTAATATTTGTTTGCTTAATGTGAGGAGACTCAGTAGCGTCACTAGGGGTGCAGGAGGTATGGATCACATCAGGTGACATTCCAGAAGGGGATGACTCCCCGTGGGGCCTCCATGGGACCTTGGGCCTGCTCCCTGGAGCTGCACGTGTGCCAGAAGTCCCATCCCCAGAAGTCCCACTCCTGCACAAAGTGCCATCAAGTTGGGGGATGCCATTGAGGAGATCTGCTCTGGCCAACTGATGTGAATGACCTTGCTTCCAGTGCTGTTTCTTATGACATATAATCATCATTAAGAGCCACCTGACATATTATTTCTTCCTTCTTAAAAAGCATTATTGTGTTTACAAAGACTATGATGGCTTATGATTTACACCAGGGGTAGGCAACCTTTTTGAGCCAGGGGCCGGGC